ACTTGGCTTGTGGCAAATTGGACTGGAATGTACTTTTCTGTGGGGGACCCTCAGTGGCTCAGGATCATTTTGTATCCTTTAGAGTAGACAATCCCCAAACAACAATAACTCATGACTAATAATAATCTCCGAACATGAGCGTCCCTAAAAAAGGATAAAGTTACTGACTGCAGATATGATCATATCTTTTTATTTTAAAGATAATACATTTAGACAAATATATTTAAGAATATGAAATATACCACAGCAAATTATTTTTGCTCTTCTAAGCACCTCCTTCACTTTCTTTTAATGAGGGTATGTTCAGTGTGAGATATATTGAAATGCACTCCTGTGCATTTTTGATTCATTTATGTTTTTACTTTTGCCTCTAATTATTTGTTAGTAAGTTTCCCTGAAATTGATTAGAGACATACACAAGTGAACACTGTATTAGAAGAACTGAACATTTTAAGGTTTTGGATGACTTATTTCATTTGAAAGCAGAGTACCTCTTCTAGATCTCCACACAAAATGGCTTAAGAGTGTCTATTTGCACACCAATTTTATTTTGTGCTATTTCCTGGTTGTATGAATATTCATCTCACTTATAGATAGGTATCAGGTAATCAAAGATGAGGCAAACATTGTAAGGGACATTTTCTTCACTTATTTGTTCAAAAGAACTCAAATTTTTTAATTTTATGGAGGAGTTCTTAAAAATAATATTAATAGGTCATAAGATTATCTGATGTCCACCCTCTATTGGGACTTTGTAACATGTTAAAAAAAATCCTGTGGATTAACCAGGTGACATCTTTATCAATGTTTGTGGTCACATGTCTGAGCCTTGGCCCGACTCTTGCCTGGGGACAGACAAGGGCAGTGATCTGACTCTAACTCGTTAGATGAATTTGGAGAGGACTTTACAAAAGGATCTATAGATCTTTCTTTAATCATGGCCTTTGGATATTTCTCATGGGTCACTGGAGATGACTGGACCAGAATATGCATGGTAGGAAAAAGTAAAGAGGAAAACTCAGTTACTATAATGTCTGCTTCTTTTAAATGAAATTCACTCTTTGGAAAAATGGAAATTCCAAAGCACCAAGAAAAAAATCTATAGGAAAATGTTCCCTAAGAAGTGTTCTTCAGAAAGGGCCCAATGGATCACCTCATTGAAGTGAGGCACCAGGGAAACTGTAACATTTTCTTATTTGCTCTTTTTCTTTCTCAAATTTTTTTTGGGGGGTACCAGGGATCAAACTGAGGACCTTGCACTTGCGAGGCAGGTGGCAGCACCACTGAGCTTAGTTCCTGGCCCTCTCTCAAATTCTAATTTTAAAAAAGCTTTCAGATTCTTTTCTACCTCCAAATATCACATCTTCCTTCATGGAGAAACTATCTTAATCCTGTGATTAAACTAATCTATTAAAAAAATTTTTAAAACCTCATCCAGAACCATTAAGTGGATGACTATTATCATCACTCTCAAAGACTGAACCAGAAGGGTGTAAAAAACATGATGCCACTGCCACTTGGTTGCCCCAATACAGAGGGGAGACTTAACTACATTTCAATCTTCAATAAGGGAGCTTCATTTCTAATTAAGCATGGAAACATTTCTTGACATTTACAATGTATTATATCTTATTTTAAGAAAAATCATCTCATGTGGGTTGATTAGCGAGAGAAAGGTCTGATTTACTAGTTTAAAAATTAGATTTCTGTGGGGTCAGGGATTTAGCTTAGTGATTCTACAGCTTGCCTCGCAAGCACAAGGTCCTGAGTTCAATCCCCGGTCCCCCCCCACAAAAAAATTAGATTTCTGTGAGGCTTCTTGATATGCTGTACAGATGGGAAGTATTTTCACCCAATCAAAACATACTTCAAAGCTAACCAAAGTAACATTGATGGGTTCTTATAAGCTTTTATATTATGATTTATAGAATTCCAGTGATGGACCAGATTTTCAAAGATTTATTTTAACATATTTTTTAGCCTCTATTCATTTTTGTTCATGTAAATGAATATCAGTGAGTCAAAGTTTTAAAATGCTCCTTGTCAGATGAACTCGACTCTTCTGTCTTGTATATAAATATAAGTGATATTAGACCATCACTCTGCTTATGAATACGTAACTTTCAGTGGTTGGTAAATCTGCACCAGAAACGTAGGCCTTGCCCGCTCAGGAATGAGGTACTGACCTGGAAATAACAGGTTCTTTCATACCCAAAGTGACACTTCTGACCCAACTTCAGTAAGACCTTGGGTGTGACTTTTTTTCCAGACACGGTGATAGATTTGCACTGATCCATTTGCACTCCATTGCTGTTCTTGGCATGATCTATATCAGGCACTAATAGATAGCTGGCTGGATTAAAAATGTTATTTGTGACCTTGATTTACCTCATTCAGAATTGTGCTATATCATGACTGGTAAGGTTCTAATTCAACATCATTTGTTACTGAAGTATTAGGTAGTATATGAAACTGATGTTTTTTTGTAGGCCAAAAAAGTTGAATATCAGTTTCTTAAAAAAAATATGATCAATCTAATGCCAAAAGAATTTTAAAAGGGTTGTTTCATCATTTTCATACAGTAATGTCAATCCAAAATTTTTCTTGTCTGTCGTTTCCTCCTAGCTGTTTGTCTTTTTAACTTTAAATATTGCAGAAGTGAGCTGTTTTTCTTTGTTTCTCAATTGGATAATTCATCAAGAGAGATCAAATGTATTTCTTTTATACCAATAATACATTCAGTATAACACAATTTCTAAGCCCAAATCTTTCTTCAATAAGTTTTTAAGGAAAGAAATGTAATATTGTTGTGCTGAGTGATCTTATGACAACAAGCAAAATTGTGTCAGCCAGATGACTGCTGGTATTCACTGAATGGTTTACACAATCTCTGAAATAATAACTGCATGTCCCCTGCAATCAGCTGAGTCCTTTCTTGTGGATATATTAACAGTGAGTCATATAAATCTTCCATCCCTCACACATATCCCTATGCAAAGAATTTCCCAGGAAATTACAGAAGTATGAATGAATTCCAAAATGTCAACTTAAAAAATATACACTCAGTTCCAGGTCATCCCTGATAGGAAATATCACTATCAAAAGAAAATACTTTTTTTTTTAAAGTAAAGATGATGGATTCATGCAATATTTTGGGGAAAAAACCCAAGTCGCTTAGTTGACTCTCAAACTAATTTTAACTCCTCAAATAATTCAAGGCAATAAGAAATACGTGTTTTTGACAACTAGGTGCTTGAAGTAATTCTGCAGGATTTCCACAAAATTAAAACTGACTGTATAGCAAAACTTTCATACTTCAGGCAAAACTGAAGCACACAAACACACACATTTTTCTAGTAATGGAAAATGTGTCTATAGATTCCCTGCTATAGATTCCCTCTGTCAAACTGGGAAATTTGTTTCAGCTCTTTTACGTTAAATTTTCCATCCTGCACATTAGATACATAGCAAAATGAACAACTGTAAAGAGTTTATTTTGATTGAGCTTTATTGATTTTAGGTATACCTATGCTCTGGGAATTATCTAAACTTTCATTAATCTAACACTTAAATTTGGATATGAAGCAATATTGCCTTTATTGTCACTACTTTAAAAAAGAGTTTGAAGAAGGATAATCAAATTATGGCAAACACCTTTGAAAGTGTCAGATTCTGCAAGGACACCCTCTTAACCAAATGCTTGAAGCTCCTTCCCCTTGATTAGCATGCCAGTACACTCTTTCCTCTGATTTGAAGTGTGAAAAGGAATGGAAAGTGGAGTATGGGAAATAAGACCCTTCTAGCACCTAATCTGAGAGTCAGCAGGTGGGTGAATGTAATTTGGATCCCTGTCCTTCAGCTGTATTTCTTTTTGGAGGTTCAGCTGTCTGGCTTTTTCTGTGAGGTTATAGCCTCTGAGAAGATGGCATGTCCTATCAGAGTGCCAGGATCTTTCCCACAAATCATAAAGTGAACTGGAGAATTTAATAATCAAGGTAAATAATATATTAAAAAATTAAAATAATGTAGTGTGTAGTGCACATGCTTGTAATCCCAGCATCTGGGAGGCTGAGGCAGAAGGATTGCTGTGAGTTTGAGACCGGCCTAGATAATGTAGTGAGTTCAAGGCCAGCCTGGACTATTTAGCAAGACCCTAACTCAAAAAAAAAAAAGAAAAAAAAAAAAAGAAAAGGAAAACAACTAATCAAGCAAAAAATTAAAATAATGGAAAAATTTATGATGAACAACATATCAAAATCGTGATTAGACACAATTAATTATTCCCCTTATTCCTAATTATTAATTATTCCTAAGAGTCTGGTAGAGCTTGAAAGACACTGTTATTGATCCTGTCATTTCTTAAAATTTTACTCTGTGTTTTTTGTTGTTGATGTTTGTTTGTTGGTGTCACCTTAAATTTTGCTCCCAAGGATGTCTGACTTCTGGCATTCTTGTTTTCACTTTGCCCTTTGTTTTCAGACTGGCTCACACTCTCACTGGCTCCTGACCTCCTGACTGGTTTTGCCATTTTCTTTCTGTGCTGTAATCTCAAGGTGAAAGATTGTGTCTGCTGTCTAAATCTTGAGTACCTTAGGGCACAGTGCTTGGGACACAGTAGCTGAGTGAAAGAAAAATCTCTTGGAGCTCCTGCCTAGGGCTCTGCAAGGCTTTCCTGCAAGATTACATAAATGGAGCCTGCTACAAAGCCACAGATTTCTTTTCAGGATTTTTCTGAACATTGGAGACATGAAGCCAGAAACAGTGTGTCATAAAGGTTTTCAGGAATCAGTCAGTGGATTTAGACAGAACTAAGTAGACTCAAAGGGAAATAAAGTGATTACTAAATCAAAACTAATTAAAATAATGTAAAATGTTTTCAAGATGATCTCTTTTGCAAAAGATCCATAAAAGGATATGGTAATTTCTGTAATCTGGAGTTTTGTACTTGTTTTTCAGTGACATCAGAGATTTCTCAAGTTTGGGAAGTGGGAAGCACTTACCCTCAATGGTGCACTGGTCAGGGATAGGGATTTTCTTCATGATTTCCATGGCGTATGATTTCACTTTACTGAGGTTTTCCTTCAGATGCAAGTACAGCTTATCTTGGTATTCTATAGGATTTGTGGTTATCTCTGGAGTTTCTCCCTGGACGTTTTCTTTAATAGTTTCTTCAAAATTCTCTGATTCTAGGTGTACAATACTCGGGTGTGAAGCTGAAGAGTTTTTCAGCTGCGATCCGTGGGTGTCTGTCTTAAGCGGCAACTTGTCACTTCCATGGCTAAGTGGGTCTATTTCTGAAAGAGAGATGCTGACTGCTCTTTGTGCACTCTCTTCTTCTTTTCCGTCATCTGAACTCACACCCTTCGTGAGCACAGTGTGTAAAGCCAAACTTTTTGACCTATAACACAAAAAAGGATAAGTTAAAATGGTTAAAGAAATTGAATTGCCATTTGCTGGCAAGAAAACGAATAACGCTGGGACATGAATAATACGCAAGTCCTCGGGAGTGTGAAATCTTGACAGGTTGATAACACATAGACCACCAAATAATGTAATAAACATCTATGTAATAAACCAAAACCTTGAAAAATCTAGGTCACCTCCAAAATCAAAAGTCTAAAAATCGATCTCACAGCAGAACTGGGTGTAAAATAGTGGACTTGCATATTTTTGTTCTTTTCCTATTTTTGCTTCTAATTTTTTAAAATCAGGAATCAAGAGGCCTGGGAATTTAGCTCAGTGGTTCCGCTGCCTGCCTTGCAAGCGCAGGGTCCTGAGTTTGATCCCCGGTACCAAAAATAAAATACCAGGATTCAAGAGAAGATATGACAGTCATTTTCAACATTGGCACATGTATGTTCCAAAAGTATTTTAAAAAAATAAGCAGTGGGTTTGTCTCTGATTTGTAGTCCCCATTTAAAATAGTGAGCTTCTTTGGATAATAAGAGCACTATGGACAGCTTACTCATGAAGAGACAGAACTATGGGTGGCCCTGGGTGACAGTTATGTATGAGAAGCACTTCTCATAGCACTACAGTGAGGCCAATAGCAAACATGAAGTGCGTACTTTAACAAACTAACCAAACAAAGTTTATACCTGTTAAATCTAATGTTTTTTCTTTCTTCCTTAGAAACATGGTCTAAGCTATATCTCCTGATAGATCCTGGAATATAGCTTTCAGCATATATTTTGTCTTCAAAAGCCTGGATTTTAACTTGAAGCTTTTCATGGTCTTCATTCTTAGCTACCTTGAGGTTGACTTCTAGTTTCTCAGGGAGTCCAGTATCAGTGCTGATTTTTCGCCTAAAGGAACAGAAATAATTGCATTAGATGATAGGCATATATGCCCTTTAAAACAGTCCTACTATTTAACTATCTCTTACTCAAAACTGAAATTTTGCTGGATAGTTTTTGTTAGTCATTTAACAAATATTTATTGAATATCTGCTACATACATATATCTTTTTTAAAAATTAACATTTCTCATTGGGAACTTGTACCTTTACGTGATACATCTTGGTTCTTATTTTTTCCCCATTCCTAGCCCTCCCTTCACTCCCTTCACCCTTCACTATTTACAAAGCCTTTGTTTACATTTTTTCCATTTCTCATAATTTTTCCTTTCCCTTCTTTCCTTTCCCCTACCCCTCCCACTACCCTACCCCTTTGGATCTTTTCTTCCTATTTTGCATTATTGATTGTTCATTCTAATTATTGGTACATTTTAGGTATACAATATAATGACATTCATCATTGGAAATTTGCACCTTTACATA